TGTGGACGTCAAAGGCTGCGGAAGAGGTGGGAGAGGCAGGTGGGCCGGTGTGGGCCCTGCCACCGAACTGGCAGATGAGCTCCTGGAGGCCAGGCCCGAAGAGAGGAGGCCACTGGCAATGCCCGTTTCAGCTCCTCACCTCCCAGCTTTTGTTCATTGTGGAGAAACCCTGGCATTGGGGCATACACATTTGACCTCTGGCTGCAGAGAGAAAAATAAAGTAGAAAGCCCTCTACTTTGTTCTTGCCAAATGACCATGCTGACATTTGTGAGGTGGGGGGGTGGGAGGGCTAGAGGGGTGGCTGACATCTTCAGAGTGCTGCTACCTGAGAAAGGCACTGTGTTCTCTGTAGCCCAGCTGACTTCCTTTCCCCTAAGTGGACGTGCATGTACCCTGGAGGTGCACACAGTTTTCTCTGTGTCTGTGTCAGAAAGCCTCTGAGGTGCTGGGAACATGAGCAAGCACCTATGACAGTCTCCTGTGTGTCAGGCACTGTGCTGTGTATTAAGATAAAACAATGAATGAAACTGGAAGCTTACATCCTTGTAGAGGCAGTAGACACCTAAACCAAAGGTGAAGGAGGGTGTTGAAAGTGCCACTGGTGTTCCTGGGAGCAGCGAGGTCACAGCTCCCACTATGGGGTTTACGTCCACCCAGCTCCCTGTGGGGTTTAGGGAACTAGGAAAGGCTTAACAGAGCAGTTCAGAGGACGTTCTAAATCCCACTCCCCCTGTTTTTCTTTAACTTATAGACTCCTTTCACAGTAATACAGTATTGAATTGTAAAAACCCCTCTGGAAGTAATTTTAAATCAAAAGTATTCTATTCAGATCAGTGCATTATTAAAAATTATATTAATCTGTGGGGTCTGAATTAAACTGGTTTTTGCAATTTAGAGACAGTAAGAATTGTGATAAAATGACTACAATGTAAAGCACTGATAAAGAGCATTTCAGACAATTTGCAGAATTACCACTTTTATGATGATTCTACTTCTCGTATTTCTAACTTCTCACTAATTCATGTTTTACTGTCAGCATTCCTTAGGCCTGCCTTTAGTCATGGTCCACTATGGGTGTAAATGAAATCATATGTGACAGAGAGCAGAGTCAGTTAAAAATCTGCATAATGGTCAAAACCATGATAAACCAGCTAAATCATAAACCCACTCGTCTGATCTCTCTGACACCTCCCACACTTCCTGAGTGTACACTGTTCTCAGTTAAAGGGAGAAAATATAATTATTTTACTGATAGATTAAAAAAAAAAGTAGAAATAAAACCCAAGCCTTATAGCCTTTAACACATAAATCCTGAAACACTTCCAGTGCTCCTGGTTGTTCCTCTGTGTAAACTGCTGCGAACCCCAGAGGCAGATGCGGTGACCGTTGTCAGCTCTCCCGCCTCGGCCGCACGGGAGTGGGGTTCATTACCTGTAGTGGAGGCCTTAGGGCAGTGCTGTCCAGTGGAAACATAATGCAAACCACGTACATAATTTAAAATTTTCTAGTGGCCACATTAAAAAAGTAAAAAGAAACAGGTGAAATTAATTTAAATAATATCTACTTAATCCATTATATCCAAAATATTATCATTTCAACAGGTAATCAGTTTTAAAATTATTAATATGTTTTATGTTCTTTATATCATACAGAATTTTTGAAATCATGTATATTTTACAATTACAGCATAGCTCAATTTGGACCAGTGCTCAGTAGCTTGAGACTACTATATTGGACAGCACAGATATAGACATTAAAATTAATGTCCAGATCACCCAGCTGGTGTAACTCACTGATTGAGTGTCGACCCATGCACCAAGAGGTTGCCGGTTCGATTCCCAGTCAGGGCACATGCCCAGGTTGTGGGCCCGATCCCCAGTGGGGGGCATGCAGGAGGCGGCCAATCAATGTTCTCTCTCATCGATGTTTCTATCTCTCTCTTTTCTCCCTTTCTCTCTCTCTAAAATCAATAAAGAAAAATGTTAATCTCTAAAAAAATAATATCCAGATGTATGGTTATTAATATGGAAAGAGATTCATGTTATATTTTAAGTGGAAATAAAACAAATCATGTCCCGGCTGGTTTGGCTCAGCGGTTAGAGTGTCAGCCTACAGACCGGAGAGTCCCGGGTTCGGTTCCGCTAAGGGCACGTGCCTCAGTTGCAGTTTGTCCCAGGCCCTGGGTTGGGGTCATGTGGGTGGCAACCACTCCATGTGTCTCTCTCACGTTGATGTGTCTCTCTCTCCCTTCCTTTATCCCTCCTGCTCTATCTGAAGATAAATGCAAAAATGTCCTTCGGTGAGGATAAAAAATAAATAAAATAAATTTTAAAAAAATCATAGCACAGTGTTTAATATTATTACATTTTTATAGATATCTATGTTTATATCTGCAAATAAGTAGTCTATATTTGTACTTTTCGGTACTGTAGCCACTAAACTTCTTTAACCAAATAAAATGTAAAATTCAGCCCCCTTAGTGGCACAGGCCACATGTGAACAGTAGCTGCCATATTGGTCATTCCTTTCTTTTTTTTTTTTATCCTCACCTGAGGACATTTTTCCATTTTTTGTTCAGGTAGAGTGGGAGGGAGAGAGAGGAAGAGAGAGAGAGGGAGAGAGAGAAACATCGATGTGAAAGGAACACATCGAGTGGCTGCCACCCGCACAACCGACCAGGGCCGGGGTCAAACTGCAACCGAGGTACGTGCCCTTAGCGGGAACCGAACCCAGGTCTCTCTGTACCGCAGGCCGACGGTCTAACCGCTGAGCCAAACCGGCCAGGGCGGTCATTCCTTTCTTTAAACTGCTGAACTGATTGAGGAAGGCTGAGCTATAGAGAGGACCTGCTAGTCCTGCAACTAGAGGGCTTTTAACAGTAAGACACAGGGAAGAGGCTCAGTTATTGTGCAGCTGTTGTTAGATTTTAACAGGAGCTTAGTATTGAAGCAAAACAACCTACTCAAAGACCCCATTCCATTTTGGCACAACCGAAATTAACTGCCATTCAAATTGCTGAGTACTCCATAAACCTAATGTCTACTTTAGGCATGTTCATATAAAAATGCTCCTTTCTGCTTCTCCAGAGCCTGCCTAATGTTCATGGTGGGGCTTACTGAACATGGTGAAGAGAACATCGTTTCCTTATGTGTGCTCAGCTTCTATGCAGTGCCCAGGTCACATTCAGCCCAGATTTAGACAGCAGTTTGTGTACATGTAGTAAAAGGGGGGTTATGTGGTGTGGGGACATTAACGTCAGGAGACTAGGCTGGGCGGTGTTCTGAGAGCTTTACAGCTGTATTAGCTCATGTTACCCCAGCCTGGGTTCCTGTCTGCGCTCTGCCCCTCACTCTCTCCAGCTTCTTCCTGACTTGATGGACTGGTTCTGCCTGTTCAGCTTACCTCTGTTCATCAAAATGAGGGGGTGTATGATGTGAAAGCATTCTGCCCAATGCTGCAGAACAGAACTGTAGGAACTGCTTTGCCGTGGGTCACACAGGCCCATGGTGAAGTCCATTCTTAACACAGCAGAGTGTACTTGTTTGAGGCATGGGTGGTTTGAGCCTTGGGTTCTTGTAAAAGAGGGATAGTGACACCACCAGGTGTTGCTGGGAGATGCAATGAGCTAAAGGCGCAGAGTTAAGTACTCCATAAACAGCAGTCGCTACCTTGAGCGCTGAGGATATATACAGCAGCATGGCATGTATAGTCACAGGTTGGTTATGAATTGGAACTGGTGTCTCAGGAGAACACTGCGACATTTTTATCTTATGTAGAACAAATTTATGTGTCGTCAACCTGCTGTTATCCTTAGCGATGGTGACTGGCTCTACTATAAATTATTGAAACCAGTAGGGACACTTCTTGCTTGACTTCAACTTATACTTTCAAGCCTTTTTCCCACCAAATGCCGTCCCACCCCTGATGCCAGTGGAAGGGTTAATTTATTTGACTTTCATTTTCTGGTTTCCCAGTTTCCTCAGTGAAAGTGCTGATGAGTCATAAAATGACTAAAAGTTCCCTTGCCAAAGGAAAAAAGCTGATAATTTGCATTTCTCATTGATAATATACTGTGCCCTTACCAAGAGCAGATCATCTCAAACCTTATCATTCAGGATTCCTATGTTAAAGTACATTTTTAAAAATTAAATGTGTAGCAAACCAAGGAACTTTTTTTTTTTTTAATTTGTTTTTCCTGATTAGAAAAGTAATATATGCTCACTGGTCATATCCTGAAAAATATTGAAAAATTAGCTAAGAGAATTTAAACCACACATATTTTATCTCCAGAGACAACTGCTGTTATCTGTCAAAGTTATCACACAATTTTTATCCTTTTTTTATATTTAACATTATAGCATACACCTTTCCCCATGTAATAAAAAATTACTTTAAAATACCCTTTTAAAGGCTTGCATATTCTTCCACTAAAAGGATAAACCATAAATAACTGACCCATTCTCTTATTGTTGATATTCAGGTTATTTTAGAGGCAGGCTTTTTTCTTAAGAGGGAGAGAAACATCGATGTGAGAGAGACACATCGACTGGTTGCCACCCACACAACCCCAACCGGGGGACAAACTGCAACTGAGGTATGTGCCCTTAGTGGGAACTGAACCCAGGTCTCTCTGGTCCGCGGGCCGATGCTCCATCCGCGGAGCCAAACCGGCCACGGCTGGGCAGACTTTTTAATTAGCTCACTTTGATAGTGGGCTAGAAGCTGGGACAACAGAGGCTGGAGTAATGGCACCCCCTGTTAGAAGTCAGAGATGGACAAGCAGATGTTCAGAGAGAACAGCTGCTTTTTATTTTCCTTCAGTGCGCTTCGCAGTGCTGCTGTCCCTGTGCTTGCTTAAAGCCGTGATACAACCCCTGGCAGACACCTGTGTTTGCTGATTTCTTAGCAGAAAGTTACGAAGCTGGTGTTTGTGCCCGATGCTCTAAATATATGACTCATCTGATCTTCACCACCCTGCTGGAAAGGTATGAGTTTGCAGATGAATATTCTGAGGCTCGGAGAAGTTAGGTCACAAAAACTAGTAAGTGGCAGTTGGGTTTAGCTGTACATGGAAAGCTGGTGCCCTTTCCTCTGGGGACTTGTGAGGTGCCATGGGGGATGGTGCACATTGTGGGTGGTCATCACACAGTGACCGGCTCCTCCTTCAAGCTCCAGAAGGACCCCTCCTGGCCTGTCTTCGGGGCAGTGGCAAATGGGCAGACGGAGAAGTGGCCCCAGGAGGAGGAGCACTTCAGTCCCAGCAGGTACTGGGGTTGGTGCCAGCTGAGGGCCTGAGGGATGGGGTTGGCCACCTTAGCTACCAGAGCTCACATAAAAATCAATATTTCCAACTAGATTGGAGTTTGTGTGTTGAACTGTCTTTTTTAGCCAGTTAAATATGTGGTGGGTGGTTCTCTGACGTTATGTTCACTGCATCTGTTTCTACACTTTTAGGGTGTTGGCCCAAGGGACAGGAAGATTGTTGAACAAATAAAGGTTATATTTCATTTTTAATTACTATTTAATTGAGCCTCTTTTTTTTAAATTGATTTTAGAGAGAGAGGAAGGGAGAGGGAAAGAGAGACAGAAACATCAATGAGAGAAAACATCGACTGGCCGCCTCCTGCATGCCCCCCACTGGGGACCAGGCCCACAACCTGGGCATGTGCCCTGACTGAGAATCGAACTGGCGACCTCTTGGTGCATGGGTTGACCTTCAACCACTGAGCCACACCGGCTGGGTAAGCCTCATTTTTGAGGTTTGTTTGTTTGTTTGTTTGTTTATTGCTTTGATGTAAGATGGAATACTGGGTTCCCATCTTACAAATTATATAATTTGCTTTGGCATCATTTAAGGGTCATTGTACTGTGGAATGCTACAGGAACTGCTATTTAAAATGCTGTATCCATTCTGTAGTCATGTCTGAGGTCAGAAGGATTTGTGTGCTGCTTTGCAGTATTTCTCCTCGTTGGAACATTGGCTGTCTTTGAAGTTGTGGTGGAGACTAGCTCCCCTGGTAGGGCAGGAACCTGGCCCACAGAGAAGAGTGTTGACTTCAAAAGCGGGGAGAAGGGCGAGGACTGAGCCGTGGCGGGTAGGGCCCTGCCTCACACTGCAGGAATCCAGGCAGGCTTGTGCTGTGTTCCTGTCCCGTGTGTGAACACAGAGTGGAAAATGGAGAATTTGTTTTGCATAAAGATAAAGCACACAACTTCTGTGATCCCATGAGTTAGATTTTAAATGAAATTTATTTCAGTCGAAAAGGAGATACACTTGGCTTCCCTCACCTGCCACAATGTAGGTCAAGATAATGGTGATTCTTCAGATGCTTTAAAAACCCTTAATGTTTTCATTAGTTTGGGGTGGGGGGTTGCACATTATTGGATTACACAGCAATTAAAATAAAACAAAGGTATATTTCAGCACTGAAAATCTGCAGATGAGACAACAAAAAATACTGAATATTTAGCAGAGCAAGGAGTGATCATGAATTCTAAGTGAGATATTAAGGACTGAAGCAGCCAGGCAGGTGGCCAGTGAGCTGAGCACAAACAAGTCCTGCAACACGGAGAATTTTCCCCAGAGACCTTGCTGCCCTTCAGGGTGATGCTGCCGTGAGCTGCAGCTGTTGTGCTGTGTGGTGCTGTGGGTTTGAGTATTGAGTTTAGTCTGAGGGCTTGGGAGATCACATGGAGGTGGCCTGGAGAGTACTCTTTGACCTGGATGGAGACACGTGAAAAAGAGCAGGACGGTTCCTCCTCGCCAAAGGTGCAAGCGTCAGTCAGCAAATGTTCATCAGTGAGTGGTTGTCATGCTTCTACTATTGGCCTGACCTTGTGCTGGCTGCTGTTTGGAATACAAAGAAATGTGTGATTCCAGCCAATGAAGAACTTCATCCGGTTGGAGAGATTCCCCAACACAGACAGACATGGGGCAAAAATAGCAGTAACATGATTTAAAGGCTGAACTTGGTTTTGAATAGGCAGAACAGTAAAGTAAGGGCAGTAAGAGTGTTTAGATACAAATGTCTGACTGGGTAGAGAAGGGTTGGAGTAGAAAGAAAGAGTTAGGACAGTGTGGTCAGGTGGTAGAAGAACATGGAAGCTAGGCAAAGGAGTTTGGGTTTTATCCTGTGGCCAGTGGGATCCCTGGAAGGTTCCTGAGCAGGGAAATAGCATAGTGTTGGATGCCCAGCAAGGTCACTTGTGCTCAGCATTCTTTTGGGGCTTCTGTTGGAGGAGGAAGCAGGTTTGGGAATGAGCCGGAGAAGTGGTGTAGTTAGTGGATCCTGGAGACACACCTGCCCTCCTGGCCCAGCCTACACTCTCCAGTCAAGGATCTGTGCTCTCTGAGACTCATTTCCCCAGATGTAAATGGGGTAACGGCTCTTCCGTGCTCACCTCAAAGGGTCATTGACAGACTGGGTGAGTGGTGTCTGTGGAAGCCACTGCTACAGGGCCCAGGGTGGGGGATCCCTTGAGGACTTGGGATAGATACTTACTATGCCAGACAAGACAGGAGAGCGGAGTTCTCATGAAGAGGCAGGGAGGTATGGGGGTAGAGGAGCTGAGGTGTGGTGGGTGCTTGGTTCATTTGTTTCCTTCCTCTCATGAGAAGGTTTTTATTTTTGTAGTGTGAAGGTACTTCCTATTTAAGAGGCTTCAGAACCATGATTCTCACCCCTGGAGTGCAGTAGAATCACCTGGGGAAGTTTTAAGACCTACTAATGCCTGTGCCTCAGCTTAGACAAGTTAAATCAGAATCTCGGGACAGTAGGGTCTAAGTAGGTTTTTTTTTTTTTTTTTGATCCTCATCTGAGGATATTTTTACATTAATCTTCAGATAGAGCTGGAGGGAGAAAGGGAGGAAGAGAGAGAGAGAAACATTGATGTGAGAGAGACACATCAGTTGGTTGCCACCCACATGACCACAGCTGGGGCTGGGGACGAATTGCATCCAAGGTATGTGCCCTTGGCCGGATTCGAACTTGGGACTCTTTGGTCGAGGGCAATGCTCTTACCGCTGAGCCATACCAGCCAGGGCCTAAGTAGGTATTTTTATAAAAGTTCTCTAGGTGCCCTGGCTGGTGTGGCTCAGTTGGTTGGAGCATTGTCCTGTACACTTAAAAGTTGCAGGTTCCATCACAGTCAGGGCACATACCCAGAGGCAACTGGTCCATGTTTCTCTCTCACATCGATCTCTCTCAAATCAATAAACATTTTTTAAAAGTCCTTGCCCTGGCCGGTTTGGTTCAGTGGTTAGAGCGTCGGCCTGCAGTCCAGAGAGATCCGGGTTTGGTTTCCGCTAAGGGCACGTACCTCAGTTGCAGTTTGTCCCCGCCCCTGGTTGGTCGTGTGGGTGGCAGCCACTCGATGTGTCCCTTTCACATCGATGTTTCCCTCTCTCCTTCTCTCTCCCTCCCACTTTATCTGAACAAAAAATAGAAAAATGTCCTCTGGTGAGGATAAATAAATAAGTAAGTAAGTAAATACCAGCTACTGTGCAGCAAAATCTTAACTATCTTTTCAGAAACTCAGGGACACTAAATGCCAATAAGGATGCTTACTTGGCAAACAGCCTGTGTTGGGAGCGCTGATCAGTGGGGTGGCAGACAGCCCTACCCCCACATTCTCAGTTCAAGAGTCCATCATCTACACCATTGGGGATGAACCACCCGTCTTCCACTGGCTAGTGAGGACCCCCGTTTTTCATGGCTACAGAAGGGCTCCCCCAGGGCACTGGGGAGTTACCAGCCACTAGCAGATTGGAAGGTCGTAGAGTCAGCCACTTGGGTTCCAATCCCCAGGCATCTGCTTCCCCACTGTGTGACCTTGGGGGGCTTACTTTATCTCGCTGAGCTGAGTGAACTGAGATCTCCTCCCTCTAGGTGGCTGTGAGAATTGAATGAGAGGTATTGAGTAAGGAACTTAGCAAAATTTCCTGGCACAAAATCAGTGCTCATTTTCCATTAATTCTTTTACTTACGTCAAAAATCACATGGTCCTGGTGCGTTTCCAGTTCAAAGAACTTTAGCATCAGACCATACTGACTTGCCAAAATGCCCACATGCTTGGGCTTGACAAGCAGCCACCCTGCCCCTCCAAGTCAAGGGGTGTGGCGTCCTGAGGAGGATTGGGAAGAAGGCCTTTGGGGAAGTGGCAACAGATGGCGCATTTTAGGGGCAGGCCCAGATCTGTGTGACTCAGGGCTGCCCTGAAGGGCTCTTAGCCCTCCCTTCTGTGCCTGACGGACCTTGGTGGTTTATACACACGCAGGTTCTGTTCCTCATCATAGAGGGTGGCAAAGATGGGAATGATCCACTGGGGGGTTCAGGGATGCTGACTCCAGCTCAGGAGGTGGAGGCCTGACTTCTAAGGTGGGGTTTCTCCTGGTCTCCAGGCCCTCTTCTCTCTGTGTTAGTAAGAGCTACAGTTCAGTTGTCAGCAATGGACAGCTATACTATGTTTTTCAGTTTATAGCATTGGAGAGAAAATATTTTCTTTTGGTCAGGCTAGACAGTGGTGTTAAGCAAACTAAAATAATTCAAGTGTTTTATATTTAGGGAATAACTTGCCCCATTGAAGTGGAATAAACATATTTCTGAACAATATCACCTTATCTTATTTCCTGTTGTCTTTCTGTGTCTGTAACCATAGGGTGGCAGATGGCATGGGGTGGGGTCGGGGGCTACTACACTGGAGCCTCATTCTTTTTTGTTGCTATTAGTCCTCACCAGAGGATATTTTTTCATTGATTTTTATGTAGAGTGGAAGAGAGAGAGAGAGACATTGATGTGAGAGAGACACATTAATTGATTGCTTTCCACATGACCCCAACCAGGGCTGGGCATCAAACCTGTAACCCAGGTATGTGCCCTTGACTGGGAATCGAACCTGAGACCCCTCAGTCAGTGGGCTGACTCTCTAACTGCTGAGCCAAATCGACTAGGACTGGAGCCTCATTCTTTTTTTTTTTTAATCCTCACCCGAGGACATTTTTCCATTTTTTTGTTCAGATAGAGCGGGAGGGAGAGAGAGAGAAACATCGATGTGAAAGGAACAGATTGAGTGGCTGCCACCCGCTCGACCAACCAGGGCCGGCGACAAACTGCAACCGAGGTACGTGTCCTTAGCGGGAACTGAACCCGGGTCTCTCTGTACCGCAGGCCGACTGGAGCCTCATTCTTAATGTGTTTTACAAGCAAAACACAATGGGTGGTGCTTTGAGGCTGCCGGTAACTAAGGGCACCTTCTAAGCGGATGT